AGCCTTTTATCGACAAGATCTAATGGTTCTAGATATTTTAGACGGATATTTCTTTTTTCGTATTTTTTTTAAATATGTAGACGTTGTTGTCATATATGGGGATCGAACCCACAACACTCAGCGCAGTAGGAAGCGGCGAGGTGACCACTTAAACCACTAAACCATCCGTGCTGTCAAATATCTGTATGCCCATCGTTGGTTACTTTTATAAGTTAGTATGTTGGGTCTAAACGGTAAGTAAAAATCCCATCTTGGCAAAATAAAAATGTTCCATACATAGTTTAGAGCCGTTATATTAGCTTAGCTTTTCATTAAAGTTAGCTAATACGCTGATTCAAACGTGTTCTGGTATAGGACTTAAGGAAGGACACAGGAAGAAATATGTTGTTGAATAGTAAAATACATTCGTAAACTTAATAGTCACTGCTGTTTGATGTTTTCTTTGCCACAAGAGCACGCAGCGCAAATGCACACGGCCCCTCAACATATTAGGTACATTCATTTTGTATTTTTCAAAAAGATGCTTGGTCAAAGTTATAGATAGGTAAAGCCTCCCAACGGACGAAAGCCACAATAAAACAACAGTGAAGTATTCTCTAAGAATATACCACGCACTCACTCGTATATCCAGGTGTTGTCACTTCGAATATACATACATAACAGTGCGCCGTCACCTAAATCTGGTTTTAAACGAGATTTTCGTGAAAAACTGTTTGTTTCAACGGGTACTAGGTATGTTGTGAGTTGTCATTGTTGCTCTCCGCCGTTGAAGCATAAAACAATAAAATAATTAAACGATTACAGTACGTGTAATCATGAACACCATCCTGACTTGTTACTGATGCTGATGTTTAAGTGTTACTGAGCTCAAGCCCAAACTCCGTGTGACTGAGATGCTGGTAACTTTATGGTCCCTGTACATCATTAGTATGGCGAATATCTGTAGCTAGGCCGCCGAGCTTAATGACTAGGCATATTGAATACAAAATTCTTCACTGACGATGATGATGATGATGTCTAGATCTATGTTCGCTCTTTTGGTACTAACTTATACAAACTTTCACTCTTTGCAGAGATTTCATCATTGATTTTGCCTTTTGATTTTGACTAGATTCAAAATACGTATCATAGGGCAGACTATTTATCATAAGAACGCAAGCAACGCGTGCTAAATGTGCTAGAAATACCGGCGTGCATAAAAACGCGTCACAAGGTCGACAATATGCCCAATATGGCGGAGCCCTGCGGGCGCGTTTTTGTTACTGAGATAATGGGGCGCACCTTGGCGATGAAGCCATCGGCGGTCACCACGGCCTGCTGCGGGCTATGGAGCCACCCGCCGCCACGCGCGCTTCTTACCGACACCCCCGCCTCATCGGAAGGCAGCATTTGATGGCGCTACATAAATCTAAGGTCACATAGACTTTGACGTGTTTAAGAAAACCTAGAATAGACTATTATTCGTGCATTTATTTTAAGTGACCGCCATAAAAAATATGTTCGACGAGAAAAAAATGTAACTGTACAGTATTTCAATAGCTTTATCGAAAGAAACATTTTGATAAGTATAATAAACATTAAAAAAACTTTCTAAACTAAGATAAAGCAACAAAAAGCGTTGCGTCTTTTTTGAAAAAAAAAAGGTTATATAGCGGCCAATGATTTTGTTACAATCGACTTAAGTTGCGTGTACCGTAACGGCTTTGTGTTTCCAAACTAAAAAATATATATTTTTATTGCACATTTTTTACTGCCAATGTTTTGCAGTTTCTTTATTAAACTCTTACCCTGTTCCTAGAGAAAGTCTGAGTGAAATTTCACCGCTTTGTATTGTCTCTATAGCTGTGTAATAACCGTTTGTACCATAAATCTGCATGCGTAGTGTCGCTCGCGTACGGGTCGGTGTGCCGGGGGGGGAGGGGTGAGGGGGCGGCGGTTGGTACTTTACCGGCTCGGTCCAGGTGCGGGGGCGGCAGATGTCCCGTGACGTCAGTGCGCTTTGACCCACATTCGAGTGTTGTGACAACATGCGAGTGCTTTATGCCCTTTTCCCTTCGCCGGGGTGAACTGTCGTGACTCGACATTGAGCACGAGCCGGGGGTCAAACGGCACTCTACTACTCTACACGCTACTACGGACCACAGCGTACAGCCACACAGTGGAGTGATCGTTTGAATACCGACGCCGCTGTTGGCTATAACAACGACTGTTGAATCAAATACTTACAGAGCCGAACTAGCAACTCTAAACGCACACATATGTACTTGTACATACTTATTTATAAATTGCTCCTCAATAGAATGCTTTGGCGTTGTTGTGCATTTAGTTATGTTAGTTTTCTCTATAAGAAAGAAGGGATGAAAATTTCAACATAGACCAAATTCCAGGTAGATTTGTATTATCTTGTTTATTTTGAGAGAATGATTGTTTTTAATAATAAACTGAAAAGCTTGTTACATGATTTATTGATATTTGATAAAAACAAGTTATGACAGCGGGGGGATAGCAACCATTTAGGAACACTGTTATATTCTTACATCATATACCTAATGTTTTTACTTTTTAAATACTAAAACAGATCAAAGTATTTAGGCCAAAACCTCCTTTCTAAGGAGAGGTATATGTCCAGCAGTGGTTTGTTAAAGGCTGTTGATGATGATGATGATGATGATGTAGATCTTACAATATTTATTGTAAAGGCCTAAATAAAAAGCCTAGAGTTTGTTGAGTTATTTGATAATACCATCGAACGGCACGCCGACGGTAAAAAGGCACCTAATACTCAAAACAAGCAAAGATGTAGCTAAATACCTCACGGTAGGACAGATTCGAGTTCGCCCCTTGATATAGGGACCCCGACAGGGTCTAAAGCTTATCAGACACCCTTGAAATATACATAATGAGTAAAACCTTGTATCCTTAACCACTCATTGTTAGTATTCTTTGTTTTGGTAAGAGTTGTGTTGTTCAAATGGTTTTGTATTAACACTACGTACAATTTGCCTAACACGAACGTAACGTAACGTGAACTCTGCAATCATTTGTCATAATCCAATTAATGGTAATGGTATAGAACCATACGACCCTGACCGCGGGATGTGCTTAGACACTCAAGTATGTAAGTCGCGGCGTATTATTTTGTAACTTGTTTGCAACTTTATGTGTAGACAAAGTTTAACACGATTAGTATTAAGAACATCAAACAACGAGAAGCCTAAATAAGTCAACATACCTACCTAAGTTTATAAATTGAAGAAGCAAAACATTTCAGACCTTTTTTGTCGTCTCTTTGTACCATTACATTTCTTGTTTTTAATTTATTTACGAAATTTTGTGTTCTAAAAAATTAAGAGATTAAATTGTTATCACGGCGCATAGTTTATACGTCAAGTGGTGTTATAATGATAGTGTCGTTGTTATCAGGGGACATTCCACCGTACCCCTCCAGTGGTTTAAGGCGCGTGCCACGCACAAGAAGGTTCCACCTGTCCACGTCACGCCGCAGTCTTGGGGGGAAGCTCATTGTGTTACACCGGTGACGATCTCAAACCGACACAATACGTACCACACAATGACACCGACTCACGTGTGGTGTGCTCAGACACCGATTTATAAATAAGCTACGATTTGATAACAAGTGCAGGACAACACGAGCTTCATACAGTATTATTAGTGGTTGTCTGCCATCTTACCTAGGTACTGCCCATTTACCATTTACCAAAAACTAATAAGAAATGATGAAGTCGTAAGAACAAGATGGTTTGTGAGATTTCAACAACTACGAGTACAACCACACGTTCCGCTTTGTCAGCATCGGTTGTCAGTTTCACATCTCACTTTGACTTCAAACAGACTAAAAGGGACTATTGCTATAATAATGTTACCTGTTATATTGTGGGTACTTATTATAGTTTTTTACTTTGATTTGTAATTATCTCAGTATTATATTATATGTAAATATATTCTCAGTATTGTTTGAAGTCGGTTCAACTTTTTTTTAAAAGGATTTATTTACTTTTTCGTTAACTTATTGCTCACTTAAGTAATCTCTAATTCAAAAAGAGATTATCCAATCTATTTTTTAATGTCAAAACAATATTATCACTAAAATATAATTTACAAACTGACTGCACAAAATGATGTGGAGGTTTAATCTTCCTAACTACCGCCGTGCATGGTGCTGTAGGTTTGATACCGGTGTAGCGCAATATATTGTTGTTGTCATTGTTAACGCGATACAGATAATGTAAGTACATATATCATAACCAGACATATATCGTATAATGTAAGCTGTTGTTGGAAGCCTCGGTGAAGGTGGTACTGACTGATGTACCGGTCTTTGTTTCACATCAGGACTTAATAAATCAAATGCACATATTCAATGTAGGCACGCATGTAAACTTACCTAAAAGTAGTTCGTGATTTTTTTTAAATTTATGATAAATTATTAAAGTATCTTGTAATAGAGATGAAGAAACTATTTAGACGGTTGAAATAATAATATCGAATAATGTATGGCGGTGAGGTGACCATCAAGCGCTTTACAGTGTAGTGCAGGGAAGATAGCGCCTGCAGCATCTTAAACTCTAGCCAGAGATCAGAGAATGAGTTCGTTACAGGTTCAAGTTCAAACAAGTCGTCTGTGGGCTGCGGTCACTGACCTCGGGCCTCTGACGTAACCCTCTAAATACTCATTACTTCTAACCTATCGTCGGCCCACTACACCCTTCTTACACCGGATCTCAATCACATCAAAGACAAAGTGAGGCCGGGGCCTCGATTTATCGCTCCAAATTTAAATCGCTATACTTAGAGAGCTGCCCACTGTCTGAGCAGACAAAACATGGCCAGCGAGAAATGAATGAAGTCTCAGGTGAGTTTTTTGCAAATGACGAGAGTCGGTTCGGCAACATTCCTGCCGCGAGTATCGCTGTGTGGCCCGCGGCGCGTATGTAAAGCGGCCGCGGAGGAAAATCCATAACGGCACGCGGAAAACCCTTTTAATATACGGCACGTAAATAAGAGTAGAGACGTAGAGGGGGTGGCGGGCAGTCGCGGGGCGGCGGTGGGCGCGCGCCGCCATTGGACGTGTGCCGCGCCCCGCCCCCGCCTAAAAAATCCGTCGGAAAAAAGCCTCGCTGGCACGGCAGTGTCTCACGGACGCGCTTAGTGGGCGGACGCTCGCACTCGACACGGCGCGACCCACGACCGGCGGCCGCGGCCGCGCCATGCCCGCGCTGGCTCTGCGCGATCAGCCGCTCGACTGCTCCATGCGCCTGCGTGACCTGCCCGCCTGGCCACCGCCGCGCGATCAGCCCCGTCACCACGGTCAGTAGCGCCCGACCATCGATCCATTGTGCGAGACCTGCAGGTGCATCAGTGCAAACCTCGCCGAGTCCCGGCCGATCGCTCTTTGACCTCTCGGTGGTGTGGCCTACCCGGAGTTCAGATTGCCATCGCGCACGAGGAGTTGCGGTGAACGGAGACCGTTCATACAATTGTTACGCTACGTTTATTTTACGCCTAACGCGATATAGGCATATTCGGAATGCGCGTACGCAAGTTGCGAGCACGTTGTTCGTGGTCTGATATATAGTTTTTCAAATAAATCGTTAGTGTTGATCACCGGGATCTGTTGTTTGTCGATACACACGGATCATTGGTTCGCTGCAGTATCTATGTCATAAAACCGCGAATTCACCAATGTATTGTGAGCCAGTGTTGATAAACCGCAAACGTAAGTTACGCAAGGGAAACGAGCTCAAGTGCCGAGTGATGGGTAAGCTGACTGATTCATTTTGATATGTTGCGACGTGCCTCCACATCCTCCACACTACACCCGACCAGCGACAGCTGTTATTTGTGCAACACGTACGTCAGTGGTGATGTGGAGCCAACGAACGACCTCATACCTAATACAAAACGCTTTCCTTGCCAATAACGTCTATTACTTTCTGTAATATGCACATACACCGTAAGGCAATTAATCTGCCGCTCAACTCTGCACTACAGATGGAATGTCTATAAAATGTTTACAACTCTCAAATGTATGTCTTCAACATTTTGATTTGATATTTAATTGCTAATGAATCAACAGTAGAGGAGTACACTACAGTGTGGTGGCTCTCGCTAGTAGAACGGTTCACCCGAACCTTGTAAATGATTTAATTCAAAGAACCGGTTCACTTGTGAGTGGAGCTCGTCATTGTGCTATTAACGTCTATTGTCTATATTAAAATGATTTACCTGATAGTGAGCGACAAAAAATAACTAATTGAAATTAAGTAGTCATAAATAATAAATTCGAGTAATGATGTGCAACTAGGTTCTAATAATGATTGACCAGCCGCTGGGCCGCAGCCTGCTCTCCGCTCACGCTCCAACTTTGATACTCTGATTAATGCATTAAACTGTTTATTACTATTTTTATTGTTGTAGCTTTGTATTGAGCTATTGGCAAAATGCTTCAACAATGAATACAAATATAAATAATATATTCTGAGAACTTGTAAACGATGACCTCGACCGCACAGACATAAAATAAAGAATATTAATTTTGAATTGAGAATTTCTCGCCTTCAGTTCTTATACATTTGTGCCTTTCTCACAGGTTCTAGTGGTCGCTTTGAGAACTCGCTGATTATGTTATTTAAGTGTGTTAGCGGATATGTTGAACGTGCAGTGAGCGTCCCCTATACGGCGTAGTTGCGAGGATGAGGTGATATGCTCTCATAAATAACAGTGCCCGAGTAATTCGCGGATGATCCCTCGCCGACAGGCGCGTGGGGTCAGGTGGCCGGCTCCACACCCTCCGCAATAATGTGAACTGTCTCAATGCGCGCGCTCGGCCTCTCTGTACCTGTACCGCACACGGATTTGTTATCGCGTCAACACCTCCGAAGGGACGGCTTACTGACGGTGACTCTACATAATACTTTAATATGAACCCTTCCGCGGTGTTGACACGGCGACGTTTATATCAGCAGAGCATCTCATTGTGTCGGAGTCTGACGATCAGATCGGCCGTGGGCCTCGGCGCGGTGTCGATGTAATCGTGTCGGATGAATGTCTCGCGATTATCTGGAGAGCGGAGACGCAATCATCACGAATGTGTCGAGAGCCGCTAGACAATGCACTAATGGAGTTTTTATTCCCCACCAATTATATTTAAATTACGATCGGAACGGCATCAAATCATCGGCGGTGTGTAATCGACGTGCATTGCTCGCTCGGGTGTAATTCGGTTGTAATAATGTCATCTAGGTAAGTGAATTAGCGGGTGATGGAGTCACGCGTTGTTGACGAGCCTAATAATACGTGTCGGTGTCGCCGGTGCCTCGCCCGGCTCTACCGGCTGTACCGGCTCCACCGACTTTGCCGATTTGCGGGCGCGGGCGCATGTGAGCGCGCTGAACTTTGGCTCGGCGCACCTGTCGCGCCCCAAACAACCCGCACTCACGCGTTCGCTTCTAACAACCGCACTTTGATTGCTTTTTTCCTTTCGGTTTCGTTGGCAAGGCGCGGGAGCTAGCGAGCGCGCGCGCTCTCCTCTCCACCGCAATCGCTTTCGATTAAGTCTGATGTGAAATTTATATTCATAGTAGCGATATTTCTTATATCAGGGGGAAATTTTTTGAAAGATTTTATGATCATTTCTAATAATTTTGTCAAGTTCTTACGTCGGGACAGATGGACGTCCCATACACACACTCACACACATACATATTATTTATGTCATATTATTTATCTTAAAAACAGTTAAATGTTCAAAAACAGTTCAAGAGATAATATTTTTCTAGACTAACTCAAATATTTGTGAAAGCAGTATCTAATAAATTATTAAAATACTGACGTGTAGGTAATAATGGTTAGCTCTCCGAGCTACCAGTCAAAGTTGCCCCCTGATCTATGTACAACGTGGTACTAATTACTGATTTATGTTTAAATTTTCACCACTATTTTAAACAACCACCACCACAATGTTTATATGTGTGTGTAAAGGCCCCACATGTCACATGTTATAAACAGTCCAGGACACAACTGCTATGTTTGCACAGTTTAATCGATATATTTTTCGTGGATCCTAATTATTAACAAATAGCTCTAATTACATTTATTATATTCAATCAATGCTCGTTGAAGATGGAAATTAATAATTGTATTAGCTCGAAGCGAATCATTACCGATATCCTATCTGAGTGAAACTTCGCTTGTAGTAATTTGCTAATTTAATAAAATATACACAGAAGCCTCCCACATACAGAACTCTGTGACTCCCTTGTGAGAAGTTTACGATATTTTTTGCGAGAACTTGTTTAAAATTAATTAAAACTCAATTTTAACAAGTTACAGTAAAATGTGGCGTTCGTAAAGAACACAGTGGTCAGTTGATGAAAAGGTGAAACTTAAATCTTAATTTTATTGCACTGAAACAAGAACATGATCAATGAAATAAGATGTTGCGAAAAGACTATTTTATTATGTGCCAATTTATAAATAAATTATTGAAAGTACATATTTCACGTTTCCTAGACACGTACATAAGAAATGCGTTGTAAATTCCAAAGAAAAGCCACTAAAATCAGTATACAGATACATTAGATGGCCACGAATATTACAAATGCTTGTGAAAGAGGTTGAGTGAATTTAAAAAATTGTAACAGTTTGCATCGAATAATGCATTGTACTATTATATTTAAACTCTAATGTTTTTTATATTTTGTTGCTACTAATTCTGTTCGTGTCCGAGGCGGCCAACACACCGCGTTGGTTAGTACCTAGTTGGTTAGTACCATTCAGGACGCTAACCGCAACACTGTGTCCCTCTTAGTCTTGCTAAAAGCCAAATTAACACATCCTCAACTGCATTCTCAGAGTAAGCACTACACTACATTTCTCTTTAACAAATCTATCTTAAAATATAATTTCACCCTAATATATAATAAAAAATGTTTCCTATAGTAAACACGACAAAATATACCTGCCCAAATATTTCGTTTGCCGTGTGTACTTATGCCTATTCAGCTAAAACGTTACTGGTAAGATGTAATTTTTTTTCATTGTGTGATCAATGTAGAAAGTTGGTATTATTGCGTACCAACACAATACATATTTAGTGGATACATCGCACAAGACCCTGAAAAATGGTACATATACCAAGAAATTGGTACGTCTAACATCCCTGGTACTAATCGCGGCGGCAACATTAAAGCCTCGCCGCCATAAATCGTAATTAACTTCGCCGGGTTGCATATTTCAAACGTGTGTGATAGACCTCACTGCTCAAATACCAGTGTCTGTTTGTTTGCGTGTTTCGATCTTATGTCTATACGGTCAGTTAAACATAAAATGCACCATAAATATAGTTTTTAGATGCTACACCCTACTTTTGAATAGATTCTTACTTATTAATGTTTACAGACTTACCTTGATGGTTGCAAATACAATGAATTTATTTGGTATTAATACATACAAAGATAAATAGACAGATAATCATATAAATGTAGAAATTTAGTTCATAAAAAATTAAATCCAAATGTAACCTTACAAGTACGTAACCTTAAAGATATGAAGGTTTAAAATACAATCAAAATATTAAATAGAGCTCAATTCTGTAAAGGCGTTTATAATCTTCGTTTGTGTCACAAATATGGACTAAATAGAGTAATTAATTCATAGAGTATTGCATGGCCATAGAGTAAAATTAGAGTAAGCATACCCGACGGGCACCAAAGTATGTGTCATTCATGCATGAAATTGTTGTTAAAGTATCAAGTTAGAATGGCCTGTCTTGCTCAGCTCATCTACACCTACCTGCCTTCCTGCAGCGTGTACCTACCAGCAAATTATTATGAGTATAGTTAAAGAACCGTCTAACTAATGCTTCCTGTTGGCTGTTTACAAATGGTAGCGATAGTCGCGCTCGAGGGCTGTTTTTGTCCCTATTCTTGCTGGTTGTTATGATCTCTTTGTCACTTTGTTGGCATATTCTTCAACACTCCATTGCACATCACAATATTTTGTAATTTTGTTATTTCTATTCATTCACTCAATATATATTGTCTTTTTAAATTTAGTTCTGCGACGATGGCTCTCCTTGCGTAGATATATTGAGGTAAACTTAGCATTAATAGATACCTATGTGTAGTTGAAATATTTCCTCCCAAAAAAAAAAAAAATTGACAGACATACGCATAGTCAATGTAATGCGTTTATAATTAACAAGTAGTATGTACAGATATGCCATGTAATGGCAGCATTTGGAGCCGACTCCAGTCGGACAGCTCGTGGCCTCACCACTCACCCAGGCACAAACAAAACAGCCCAGACAAACTCACTTAATTAGCAGCTAACAAGCGTCAGCCGACGATAACGCTTCAGAGGATACAGGTTCGATGCCCACCAACCTACACAGTAATTATATAGTGACTCGAGAAATATTATTATAAATATTTGTAAGATCAAGTTATACTCGTACGTAGTTAAAAGAATTGTATTCTGTGTACAACAAGTAACCAACGGTCTTCGACATCGTAATGACTTCAAGAATTTTGTTAATTTATAGAAACTATTAACTATACAATTGCCAGTATATACCGCGAATGTAAATCTACAATATAATTACAGTTAGGTATCTGATGAAACGTCACTTCTAAATAATCGCGTAGCGTCAACAGTCGTCGATTAACACGTTATAATAATATATTTATTGGGTCATACTAAAGTCTGCAACAAAATATGCACCCTCTTACGCGCGTCTCCAACCATTTTGCTTCTTTCCGACTTATCAGGATTGAATTTAACCCCAAATATTGGGGAATCGGACAATCAATAAACTTCAATTAGAAAATATTATGTTGTGCACTTTAGACTACATAGTTAAATAAAAACAGTTTCACCCCAGTGGGAATTCCCGGAGGAATGCGTAGAGTTGGGTGTGGGTATCACATGGAGAAGTTGTTAGCGCACAATAAATGAGGTATAGGAGAAAGCAGAGGGCACCAATTACTAACCACTCCAGGTACAATCATCAATTAAGTGCCTCCATGTAGTTTAGGTCTTAAGGCTTATGTCTTTCAGTCAGTCGGCTGAGTATCGGAGTGCATGTGTATCGAAAATATTAATTTAAAAAAAACTGTGCGGAAATATCCTCGGATACCACGCACCGGTGCGGTGGTTATGTCGGAATCAAACCGAATAAAAACCGCTCGGCTACCTTCCTGGTCCTAAGGATTTCTTTTCTATCGTGTACTTTTGAAAAGAAATCCCTGATACCCCAACGTACTCGGTCTATCTACGGGGGTAGATGATCCCTCCTGTCCTAATTGCAGTGATGGCACTCAAGCGTTGGCTCCTTGCAGATCAGTCATCAGACGCAGGTGGCTCCGAAGCATCCTTTCCCGGTGATCACCTGCGTCAGCTGGTATAAGCGGGTCCCGTGTTGCCTTTCGAGCCAATCCTAAGTAATGAGTCTTACCGCCGCAATACCGGTATGCCCGAATAAAATTTTACGTTTAATTTACAATTTCAATTAATTAGCTAAACTGCAAACAAGCCTATTTATACAGGCTTGCTATATATTTAAGCAATCAAGCTATATATCTATCTACATATGCCTGTATATATAGTCTGATTATTTTTAACCTGTCACAAAACAAACAAAAATGAACGTATTCAGCCACAGCACATAGAGTTTAAACCGTCTTCTTATAGATTTCAGGACCATTAGAATAGGTTTATTTCTGACCAAATCATGGATATATTTATAGAAAAAGGGCTATTATATTGTATTTACATATCTGTCGAATTTTTTTGTTAATCTATTTACAGTAAATTTGATATTTTATTAATTACTGATATCGGAATGTATTTAGAAATAGCTTTATTTCATTATGAAATGTAGTGGATTGTTTCAATACAAAGTATTTTGTTTAGACTTCGTGTAGAACATTTATTACATAGGTAATTAACAATGAACTGTTAGTATTAAAGTTTAT